CACATTTTTTAAATGTTAACAAACATCACTTTACTAAGATACTGAGAAGGTTAATCAGAGTTCTGTAATATTTTCTAACTTTTCATCTCTCAAAGACTTCATGTAATTTCTCTCTGTCATTTAGTCTATGACAAGGCACAGGCCAAAAGAGTGAAGATGAAGAGAGTGAGGGAATGAGTGTCACAGGGAACAGACTGGAATGCAGATCTCAAAGCCATGTATAAGTGCCCTTTGCTTTTTTAATGGAGTCAGGCTACTTGGACCTCTAACAAGTTACCATACATAGGACATATTGTCTATTTTTATTATTGTAGGAGGACATTTGACTTACTTAATCCAGATGATTCAGTTTTTTCTCATCCCCGTCCCCTTCCAAGAAGAAAAAGGCTACTAAATCCACTAGCTTTTCTTTATCCATCACCATTACTCTATCTGAACTCTGAAATGTTCTTAGCTCAAAAAATTGTATAATAGCTTGTATTTGGAGGCTGAGGGTGGTAAGGAGAAGCTTTGCGCCATTAACAAGCACACAGAAATGTGCATTTCCAATTGATTTTTTTTCACCTCTGTTCTCCTGGCTTTAAGAGCAGACACCATTTAGTACATAACTAATACTGATTCGGTATGTGAAAGGAGAGGATAGAGAATGAATAGAGCAAAGGTCATGAAGTTTCACAAAGTAAAAATGTGCCATTAAGGATACCTAGTGTGGGACTTCCCTGGTGGCACAGTGGTTAAGAATCCACCTGCCAATTCAGGGGACACGGGTTTGGTCCCTGGTCCAGGAGGATCCCACATGCCGCAGAGCAACTAAGCCTATGCACCACAACTGAGCCTGTGCTCTAGAGCCCGTGTGTCACAACTACCGAGCCCGTGTGCTGCAGCTACTGAAGCCCGTGCGCCTAGAGCCCGTGCTCCACAACAAGAGAAGCCACCACAATGAGAAGCCTGCACACCGCAATGAAGAGTAGCCCCCGCTCACCACAACGCAGCAGTGAAAGCCCATGCGCAGCAATGAAGACCCAACACAGCGAAAACAAACAAACAAACAAAAAGCAACAACAACAAAAGAATACCTAGTGTGTGTGTGGTGGCGGGTTAGTTCACATGGCAATATACTTGGGCAGTTTGTTATCTGATGGACCAATGCTTCTTACTTCTTGCTCTCTCTTCCATTCAGAAGAAGCAAAGGCAAGAGATAAAAACAACAGTCTACTAGACTATAAACCGTTCTTATAGACTACTATAAAAATTAAACATTCTCGGGGCTTCCCTGGTGGCGCAGTGGTTGAGAGTCCGCCTGCCGATGCAGGGGACACGGGTTCATGCCCCGGTCCGGGAAGATCCCACATGCCGCAAAGCGGCTGGGCCCGTAAGCCATGGTCGCTAAGCCTGCGCGTCCGGAGCCTGTGCTCCACAATGGGAGAGGCCACAACAGTGAGAGGCCCGTGTACCGCAAAAAAAAAAAAAAAAAAAAATTTAAACATTCTCTTTCTCTCCCCGACCCCCTCCTCTGAAGATCACTGATCATTAAATGCAAGTCTAAGGTTCTTACTGGTAGCAATTTATAGCAAATGTTTTAATATTAGTACATGTTTTCCAAGTCTCCTAGCTCTTCTAAAGTTGCATTAACCAGGCGGAGGGATGTTCCAGGCAGAAAGAAGAGGAAGTGCCTAAGGCAGAGAGGCATGAAACAGCACGAGGTGCGCTGCCAGGAGAGGGGATGGCTAGGAACTCCAAGTAATTTTGCATTTCTGGAGACTAAATGAGAGACAAGGAGTGAAAGAGGCCACAACATAAAGAGCCCTATCTGCCATCCTGGCCTGTAGGTGGCCAGATGCCACTGAAATGTCCGACTACAGGAATGCCCCAGACAGAATCTGGGTTTTAGGTTCGTTGCTCTGTCTACTGCAGCACAAGATGGTACCTCAGAAGACAAGAGGACGTACAGGCCAGAGGCTACTTCCTAGAGCCTGGATTCTCCAATGTTAACTATTCCTGGAGGTCCACTATAGAACTATTCTGAGGATAACGTGAGAGCACTGGACCCAGGGACCGGTTTGGAAACTCAAGTGCACCACTGGGCCACTCAAGGTCTCTCCCCTGGCGACCCCCCCTGAATCTCGGACTGCCTCAGATGGTGCCTCAGATGATGGATGGCTGTATAACCAGCTGTCCCTGACAGACTGCCAAGTGTAGGTGGGTAAGCGGGTATCCTTGACCACCACTCAAGGTCTGAAGTAGAAGCTCCTAGTGAACAGTAGAACAGAACCTGCCGAATATATGTTAATTATGCTGAATTTGTACTGAAGTATCCTAACAAACAGAAGTACTTTGGACACCACTGACTTTTGCTGCCTTCATTTTCCCTAACTTCACATCTGAAAAAGCATGGTACTTGCCAGCTAATGGAACACTTTGGTAAATAGAATGTTGTCACCCAGTTCTGTCTACACATTTCCTACCAGCCTTACAGTTTTCTTGGGTTGCCTCAGGGGAACCCGGGGGCTACGTCACACTAGTCACAGAAGTTTGTGTCAGATTGTAGCTCATTTCCCAGTCCTCTGCAACTGCTCTTCATCCGCCCCCAGCCTGAACAACTCACAGCAAAGCGCTAATGCATGAAACTCCAAAAACAATAAGTAGCCCTTATTTCTATCAGCTGAAAGTCTCATTCCTTACCTCAAACTTAGCCCCACAGCTCTGCCTTGCCCTGACTTCCTCACCTTTTTTATTTCTAACCATCCAAAAAAGGCAAAGCTGAGCATTTGTTCCCAACACCCCTTCTCTAAAATGTTCTTTTCCTTTCTGTCATCAAAACCTTCTCTTCCCACAGTCAAGCTAACAAAATCTCACTTCCTGGATTTCACAGGCCATTTCCATCCGTAATAGTCCCTTCCCTTGACTTAATTCCTGTGATCAATATTATTCATTTTATAATAATGTATCTCACGTTGTCATCCAAACTAGCTTATACATTCCTTAAAAGCCCAAAGGAAGGCTTATACATTTCTACGTCCCACCTGTGACACCCACAGTGAGGTAGTTGAAGTTTGGGCTCAGTAAATCTCCATTTAACAATACAGTCGGTCCTGCGTATCCGCGGGTTCTGCACCTGCAGATTCAACCAATCATGGATCGAAAATATTTGGAAAAAAATTTCAAAAAGTTCCAAAGAGCACAACTTGAATTTGCTGCACACTGGCAACTATTTACATAGCACTTACATCATATTTACACTATTCACATAGTATTTACACTGCATTAGATATTATAAGTAATCTAGAGATGATTTGGAGGATGTGCAGATGTGCGTAGCTTATATGGAAATATCATTTTATATAAGGGACTTGAACATCCACAGATTCTGGTATCTGCTGGTGTCCTGGAACCCATCCCTCACAGATACCAAGGGACGACTGTAATCACATTGACATCGACATGAATTTCTTCAACCAGTATTTTTATTCATAAAGGTAACAGTAAGGCCCTCAAGAACCTTTGGAACTAGAGAGAGACTGAGGGCATTTTCCAGATTTATTTAAAAGGAAAAATTAAGACTAAAGGGGTAAGAAACTTGGCCAAAGTTAAAAGAAATGGCTGAAACGATAATGAGACCAAGAGTGTACCCACTTTAGGAAAGGAAGGGTTTAATAAACTAAACCCCAATCCCTCTGACAAAGTAATCCTTACCCTCAACTCAATATTTTTCTGCATTAAACAGAGGGTGGTATGCGTCAGCACTAAAGTACAATGCCAACGGTAATTACTCTAATTATCTGGAAAATTCCTGAATTACTTTCTTCCCATTGCTAAAGCAGATGTGCCCTTAATATCCAGAGGACTATAACAGTAAAAAGACTGTTAACAGTGAAGTTAACAGTAAAAAGTCAGAGAAGGGGAAATGCATAAGAAAATCTTGGAAGCTTTACACTGGATACTGACAAGAAGCCACACAGTGTAAATGACCCAGAAGCAGAACTGATTTTGTTTTTGATCTAAACTGTGTCCCCTTATAATTGCTGTGATTTACAGGCTCAGTGCTTTAACCCATGGGCTGTTTCCGGCCACAGGAAGGAACTGGGTAGTCATTAAAAAACTGTCACATAAATAGCTACTTACCAGCTCACCTGGGGAGTGTAATGCTGTACAAGTAGTAAAGAACTGCCAATTTTATTTATTTTACTACTTGTAAACTCCCTGAGGAAAGGGGTGAGCTGGTAAGTTTCCTGACCATTCAACCCTTAATTATCCATACAAGCAGATCAGAGAAGAGTCACAGAGAAGTCAAAATGAATAATCAAAAAAACTTTTATAATCAGCTTTGTAATGAATTCAGATACCTCCAGGCACCTTCTTTCTTTAAATGAATAGGGACCACCAGCCTGAAAAATGCTAGAGCACAGAGGTCAAATACGCTGGTCTTGGTTGGAGTCATGGGACCAAGGTCTCAGTACTTGATTGGAAACTCACTAGTCGTATAATCTCAAGCAAGCTACTTAACCTCTATAATTTTCCATTCCCTCATCTGTAAAATGAGGAAGCTAAAACCAACTGCCTTACTGGTTTGCGGAGAAGATTAAATGTAAGGTATTTGATGTATTCGGCACAACACTTGGCAAATATTTAATAAATTTGTATTTTAGTATTGGTAGCATTTAAGGACTGAATGGAAATAAGCAGGGAGGAGGGAAAGAAAGAGGATATACTCATGGTCAAGTGTATTGCAAAGTGAAGGACAAGTCACTTGAAGGCCAACTGCTACTCTTATAAAAATATCTGAGGAACATGCATGTCCCCTAATTGCTTTCATGAAAACCAAGGTTTTTAACCCTTCTAGGAATGCAAGCAGAGAAATTTGCTTTTCTTCCTACCTGAAAGGGTTTCCTCCCTATGTTTTCTGGAAGCCCACCTGTCACACAGGTTGGGAACCCTGGTTCAGTGCAATAGAGGCTTCTAGGGCTACCTAACCAGCAGAGAAGGTGGAACTCATACATTACCTGCGCCCAGTGGTTTTTAAATACAATCATGCATGTTTCTGGGTCAACTCCCTGCAAGCTCACAGCCTGCCGGAGTTTGCCTTCTGTCGCAACCGATGACATCATAAGCCTTCAAAAACCAAATGCTTCTAAGTCATATTTAATTTTCATGAAAATTTGGTAAGCAGTCACTAACTTTCAAGTATCACAGTAGAAATGTAACTTCTTCACATTTCATTGTCACCTTCGAAACCTGTAATGACAATAACAAAAAAGGCATCCCATTACATTCATATATTAAATAGGACACTGACTTAAGTTAAAATCAAAACACAGACATTCTCAAAGTCCAACACGGAGCAAAATATCAACAAAATAGACATTTATACTCAACCTGAAGCCTTTCTTCTGTTTTCTCTCACTGTGCTACTAAATATACAAAATAATGATGCTACCAAAGCTACATGAATAAATTAAACAATTACTGGATTTATTCTGTCCACTATCACCAACCACAACCTCCTAGATTATTATTCTATATCACTCAAATCTAGTTTCCAGAAGCAATAAACTACGATAGCAATGTTAGTGGTGTGTAGAAACACCCAGAAACAGGAAAATCGTTAGTTAATAGTGACTGAAATAAATGGCTTGATGTAACTTAGGGGAGTTATAACACAGCACCCAGACTCCTGGGTCCAATAATACCGATTATTTTAATCAATAACTGTCATAATGGAATTGAAAGCATTCTCAGTCATTTCGTGGCTACAACCTAAGTTAAGGTTTCCAGCTTTCCTGAAAAATAAGAGAATTCCAAGTAACCTTGACAAATCATACAGAAATGATCCATCAGAAACAAGAGAGTGCTTACTTGGTGTGAGGACAAGGCAGCAGTGCACTTATTGATGAAAAATGAGTTATGTGGACAAAATATGAAGAAAGCCTGACCCAACAGGGCCAGCGGGGAGAAAAAAAGATACTGAGGTCACAGAGTATACAGGCAATGTGATCCAGTTGTGTGGTGCTAACTCTCTGACAAAAGCACTAAGATACTGGTATTATTATCTTAGATTCATCAGCCCAAAAAAGGACTGGGGACAGTTCAAAACGTTATTTGTTTAGTGTACAGACTAGAGAGAGTTCAGAGAAAAGTAATTACATTATAATTACCAGAGCACTGGAAAACGAAGTCCATGATAAAATTTCCAGACTTGTAGTACCAAAAGATTAAAAAAAAAAAAAAAGAGGCTATACTTTCAACTGAGTAACTAGTATTACAAGGAGAACACTGATCAACTAACTATTCCTTCTATAAACAATAAAATGTGAGAGAGGGGACTTCAGGTGATGATTCAGGTTAGATTTATTGATCAAGTTCTTTGTGGGAAGAGGAATTAAACACTGGAAAATAGTTAAAGGAATATTCAAAACAAGTACTTCTGTTGGCGTAGAAGACTTACCAATCAACATTAAAAGATCTTTATAATAAATTTTAGTACATAAGAAAAGAAAACATGTAAGAATTAATAATTTTGGGGAAAGAAACATTTCTTAAGGAGAATGATGGGGGATTAAGGTGTGTGGAAAGAGGGAAGCCTGTTAGAATGAGGACTGCATAGATATTGTAAGTGAAACAGTTTACATGTATCTTTCATGACTATGTTTTATTATGTAAATTGGTGAATTCCCCAACATATAATTCTTAATAATACAAATGTGTTGTTTTCTTTTTTTTTAAAATAAATTTATGTATTTATTTATGGCTGTGTTGGGTCTTCGTTGCTGCACACAGGCTTTCTCTAGTTGCAGCGAGCAGGGGCTACTCTGCTTTGCGGTGCACGGGCTTCTCATTGCGGTAGTTCCCCTCGTTGTGGAGCACGGGCTCTAGAGCACAGGCTCAGTAGTTGTGGCACATGGGCTTCGTTGCTCTGCGGCATGTGGGATCTTTCTGGACCAGGGCTCGAACCCATGTCCCCTGCATTGGCAGGCAGATTCTTAACCACTGTGCCACCAGGGAAGCCCAAATGTGTTGTTTTCAATAAGATATTGTCCATTACCAACATGGCCCTTTGCCACTGAGACGCACGTTACACTGCGCCGAACTGGTGTTTTAAAAATCAGGAGTGTCTGCCCATGCACGCAGAGTATGTGTTCCCAGTCACACATACACACACACACACACAGACACACACACACACACACACACAGACACACACACACACACACACACACACACACACACTCCCTGTGATCCTCCCGTCACTCTCTTGACCCCACTTTGGTTCGCAGGCTAGTCCTTCTAGACGGTATCTCATTGTGCAACCCTGTTTTAAGTGATAAGAGATAAGACAGGGCTTCCCTGGTGGCGCAGTGGTTGAGAGTCCGCCTGCCGATGCAGGGGACGTGGGTTCGTGCCCCAGTCCCGGAAGATCCCACATGCCGCGGAGCGGCTGGGCCCGTGAGCCATGGCCGATGAGCCTGTGCGTCCGGAGCCTGTGCTCCACAACGGGAGAGGCCACAACAGTGAGAGGCCCGCGTACAGCAAAAAAAATAAATAAATATATAAAAAAAAATAAAAAAGATAAAACAAGTTCTGATTCAACTTCCTTGTTGTCCTAAACACTATATTTCTTTGAAAATGTCAAGGTCTCTTATTCAAATGGTGTAATGATAATAACGAAGAAAATCAGAGTGTTTGGGTTTATCCCAGAGGTTGAAAAAGTAGAAGACTCTCTGAGATGCCTTCCAGCTCTGGGATTCTCAGATTCTTCTTCGAAGGTATGAAGGGAACATAAATCATGCCAATTGCCTCTAAATCAAAAATAGACAGATGCTCTCTAAGATCCTTCACACTAGTTCTCAAAGGGACTTCACATGCAGTCTTTTCAGACAGTGAGACCGCAGTACAGACAGGGTAAATTTCTTAGCTGAGGCCAAAAACTTACAAGTCAGTTTTGATGGAGACAGAAATGTCTCTGGACTCCTAGTCCAATGTTCTTTCTAGAAACTGTATTCTCCTCGCTCCTGGCTATAATTCCTAGCCCTAGTCCCTTAAGGAATCTGTATCTTCTCTGAGAAAAGTACATCTCCATTGATGCTTATCCAATCATACTCTTGAGGCAGATGCCTGAAAAATCTAAATATGCCATGAATGTAGAAACCACAACATCGAGAGAACCTGGGAGAGAAAGCAGAGGGGGAGGCAAGTCCAGCAAGCCACGTTTGGGAAGCGAAAGCTATTGCAGGAGACCCTGTCAAAGAAAACACCACCTCAGCACCCAGAAGCCTGTCTCTCTCTCTCCCTCTCTCCCTCTCTCCCTCTCTCCC